TACATCCTTCGTGCACAGGGCTTTGGAGTTCAGGGTTTAGGGTTTAGGGGTTCAATTAGCATTTAGGGCTGAATACATCCTTAGTGCACAGGGCTTTGGGGTTCAGGGTTTAGGGTTTAGGGGTTCATTTAGGGTTTAGGATTGAGGGTAGCCGTTGTTATGCATCCTTCGCGCACAGGGGTCTGACGCTGAGCACAAGGTACCGAACTCCACGACTGTATGACTTGACTTCCGACGTTTAGGCTGAGTTCTGCGACATTCACAGGATTTGCCGCAGTGCTTACAAAGGCTTCGTCCTGGGCATGGGGTCCGAGTTCTACTCCACATAAAATTACACTATACTAACCCCTAAACCCTAAACCTTAAATTAAACATCCCACAACCCTTGAACTCGAAGCAGCAATTACGTTATACACCCTAAACCCTAAACCCGTATTATACGGTAGAAAGTATCTAAGAACCCTTGAACTCGAAGCAGGGATTACGCGCAAGTTTGGGGATTCACTCCGAAAGCCCCAGCCCTAACTTTCTAGCCCTGAACCATGGAACCTTCACACCTGAAGCCATCATCCTCTGAAACCTTGGGCTTTAGGGTTTAAGGTTTAAGGTTTAGGGTTTGGGAACCTTTAGCCTTCGTCATTACTGCCCAAAACATCCCAAAGCCAGTTTAGGGTTTAGGATTTAGGGCATAGGACCTAGCCAAAAATATCGCAAACAACTAGAACCCTATGGAACCCCCATGCAAATGCCAAACCAAGGCCTCTCAACCCTGTGCTCTGAGCCCTAAATCCTATACACCCTAAGCCCCACATGCTAAAGTTTAGGGTTTAGGGTTTAGGGCCTTTAAACCAAAAGCCTAAACTCAACACAATAAAACCAATAAGCCGGGGCACGTGTAAGTCGTGTAGGTGCCATCCTTGGCCCAAAGGGCAAACCACTCGACACCGATGATGGCATAGATGCACCTCTGTTGGGATTTGGGGTGTAGGGTTGCATGTGGCATAGGAGCTTGTGATCTCTAGGGCTAGGGGTTTTGGGGTTGAAGGGTTTTCGGGTTTAGGCTGTGGGGGTCCTGGGTTTAGGTCAAGGCATGTATTTTGGGCCTTTTGCTGCTCTTTGGGATTACGAAACAATAGTTCCTGCATGCTTTGTGGCCCGCGCTTGGTGGCTCCATAGGGTGACAGGGTTTGGGTCTTTTGGGTCGCTGGGATCTACCAGGTTTTAGGGAACAGCAGTCTAGGTTCTCCAGTAGCCCCTTAATGATAAGGGTACCCTTTTTCCTACAATTTTGGTTTCAATGAGGGAACTCACAAGAAAAAGACCCTAAACCCAAAACCCTAAACCGGCAAAAGGGTACTACGAGGAAACCTAGGCATCGCATGGGTTCGACAAGGATCTTAGCGCAACAGTAGGGCCAAAAATTGGGACAGGGCTATCCCATGTAAATCCCCTTATGATGAAGCCCAACAAGGTAGGGACATCCCTATAAAATGCATATGCTTATGTCCTTTTTGGGTAAGGTTTGAAGTTTAGGGTTCCGGGCTTAGCTCTAAAACACGTAACCCCTGTACCAGGCAGTTGCGATACGACACGACCCTCAAGATTCGAAACATCGGCGGATACCTATCAACTTGCAATGTTTTAAAGGACCTCAGCGACATAAGATCAGGGCAGGTTCAGGCTTGCGACTACATGGCCGCAGTCGTCGTGGTCGTGGCAGTTTAGGATTTGGGAGTTTCGAGGGGTACCTTATTCTACTTATAATAAGGATCCTACTATTTAGGGTACTATATGAGGGTCCCCTGTTTTCAGAAACCCCATGTGGGTGGCAGCGGTGAGCTGACTGCTGGTGATGGCACTCACCTTCACTGAGGCACACACGGAAGGTGTTGACAAACAGGCCCATCTCCTGCCGACACTTGTTGCAAAGCTATGTCCACACTTCACCGCAGTCACCGTCATCGTCACCATCAGCAGGTTTAGGATGATAAAACATGAACCCTAAACCCTAAACCCTAAACCCTGAACCCTAAACCCTAAACCCTAAACCCTAAACGCTAGAGTTTAACATTTCAAGCTGATTCCAAGGGCTAAGCCTCCAGGCCAAACGTCCCCAAAAAGGCCCGAAATATGCCTGAACTAAAGGAATACAATGCAGGGGCTTAGGGTTTAGGGTTTAGGGTTTAGGGTTTAGGGTTTAGGGTTTAGGGTATAAGGTTTAGGGTTCCGGGGCCTGACTAATTAGAATAGGGTTTGGGGCTCCTTTATAGTATAATTGCAAGCAGGAGCCCTAAGGAATAATGTTGGTAACTATTTAGGCTTCTACATTTCTCGCTGAGGGGCCTGCAACAGTGCATCACCACAAAGCTGGAAATTCTAAGGCACGGTAGTCAGCCCTTGCATTTGTTGCTTCTAACCCCGAATAGCCAGCCAAAGCCCGTCTGAGATATTCAGCCCAAGTTTCGACCGTACTTCCAACCACCGCGAGACTCCAAAATCCCTGAATGCATTGAAACATTTTGAGGATCCCACCATAATTTGGGGATATGGATTAAGTCTACAACCCCAGTAACAAGAGATGTATTGAGCTCTACAGTTAACGGCATGTTGCTCAGTTTAGTCCACGCCCAGTTCGATTACTACGGTCATGCCCATCGCTAAATCCTACACCCCAAACCCCTAAATTCTAAACCTATGAACCTTCGTAAAGCATTCGTCCAGTCCTCGGGCATCGGTTCGAAACCATAGGCTACCTGCACGGCTTGGGGTTTAGGGTTCGGAGTTCGGGTTGCTCGAGGCTCGCAGGCGCGCTTCTGCAGAGGGGTGACTGGACCGCTCGGGGGGAACACCACTTTGCTACAGGATGCCACTATCTATCTGTCTATCTATCATCTATCTATCTGTAGATCTATCTATCTTTCTATCTATCTATCTATCTATCGGGTATAGTTCTATTCGCGTCCCCCAATGGGTTCCTTCCTAATGAGCAAGTCTAAGAAGTGGTCGCCTGTGCTGTTGGAGTGAACAAGTGCAGACCAACTGTGGGGGACATGAACGAAACTATAGTCGGGTATAGTTCTATTCGCGTCCCCCA